AAGGACGTCTTTTGCAGGCGATGGAACCGATTTTAGTGACAATGATGCCAATTCCACTTTCATTTCTCCTAACGTATTGAAACAACGATTGCAAATTCCAACACAGTCGCCCCCACATTCTGCTGCAGAAGCGACCGAACCGATGGAAGAGCATACCTCGCATACGTTTGCCACGGAAATGACCCCGCTGGATCAGCAATCGAGTCACAGTTTTGCCAATGAACTGACATCCGACGATTTCCAACACAACAACAACAACAACAACAATGTGCCCAAGCGAAAGGCCAAGTCCATTTCGCCCGCGACAAACAAGAAAGAATCTGTGGAACCACCGGCACGGACACGCAGCCACGTGGACATTTTTCAAAGCCATTTCGTGGTTGCCAGTGGTGGTGGCAGTGGACATGGCAGTGGCAGTGGACACGGCGGGAAAAAGTACAGGTCGTCTCCCAAAAGTGCTCGAAAGCGTCCGGTCATGGAACCGGAGGGAACCAAGGCTCATGACACCAACGACGAGGGCGAGTTTCGTCCTAGCGTGAAACCTACAGTCTCAGCGGTATCGTCCGACAGCGCCTCGGCAGCAACATCAACCAGTCTGCCACAGCCCTGGAAGGAATTGCTGAAAACCACCAAACAACGAGCACAAAGCATGGGCGATGTGGTCAGCAGCAACAACAATTACAATCACAATCATGCCAGCTACGATTTCAGTGCTGGTACGCCGTCAGAGGATTTGGCCAGCACAGAATCGTTGGAACTCGAGCCCAGTCCGACTTCTGTGGTGGAGGAATCCCCCACCAAAGGAGTGTTCTCGCTGGATTTCACAAATCAGCAACAAGACGTTGAGCCTCATGTTTTGACGAAACAACAAAAACAGCAAGGGACAAGCGATGTACAGGCTTATCACGAATCGATCCAATGGAAGTCTCTGGCTGTTCCTCATCCCCTTCAATCGAGCGGTCGTCGTGCACAGCGGCGCATGACTTTGACGTGCGATGGAAGAGACAACTTAGACCGTGGAACAAACACCGACAGGAGGGCGAAAACGGTCGCTCCGCCGGGAAACGACGGCAATATTTTGTCGCCTCGCGGAGCTGCGTCGAGAGATTCAGATGTCGACGCCGAACGCCAAAAACTGATTTCTCCTGCTGCGTCCAATGATGACGCGAGTGAAGCCGATTTGGACTTGAGCGATATGGTCCTTACGCAGGCTGAGAGCGAAATAGAAGCCGCTCAGTTGCCCTCGGTCACTACGATCGTCCAACACTTATCCGCTTCAGCCAGCTTGATTGACGCAACCGACATTCCTTACAAGACAACCTTGAACAGTTTTGCAGCCGAACGCAGCGTTGACACCGACGATGAAACTCTTTTGACGCGAAGCGAAAGCGGGGAGGAAGATTCAGCGAATAATGAGCTTCCCAAGCAGGGGTCTGCTATCACCCAGCATTTTGCTTCAACGACGAAGAGCAAGAAGTCTCTCTCAGATGCTTGTGACAGTGTAGTGTTATCCAAAGCACTCAAGGTTGTTCCTTCACTCCATAGCAGTGAAGTTGATGATACAGACAACCAGACAGCTCTACCATCACTGCACAGCATCCAGCAAAATGAAGTTGAGGAGGATTCTGTGGTGTCTGAGTTGCCCACGGCGACAACGATTTCCCAGCATCTTGCAGCCAAGAGTCCCCGCAGTCAGCGAAAAGGAATATCGGATGCCTGTGACAGTGTTGTCCTCTCCAAAGCCCTTCAAAAGAAGCCATTGTCGAAGAGTCTGCAACCTGATGATGTAGACAATGACACGGTGCTGCCATCATTGTACAGCATCCAAGAAAGTCAAGCTGGTACGGTTTCGACTGAGTCACTAGCAGAAGAGCGTACAAGAACAACAGCTACTGAAAGCACAACAATATCTCAGCACTTGTCCAGTACGAGTCCTAAAAAAAGCAAGAAAGTGCTCTCAGATGCATGTGACAGTGTAGTCCTTTCCAAAACACTTCAAAATAGGCCTCTGGGCAGAGTAATGCAGCGAGATGAACCTGACAATGATACTGTGTTGCCATCTCTTTATAGTGTCCAACCGAGTGGTACTGAGGACGAAGAGGAAGACGAGGAGAATTCTGTTCTTACCGAGTTGCCAACGGCCTCTTCCATCTCTCAGCACATATCTGCCACCAGCACAGGAAAGTTCAGGAAGAAGGGGCTGTCAGATGCCTGCGACAGCGTTGTCTTGTCAAAGGCGCTGAAGAACAAGCCATTGGGGAGGGCTTTTCAACCAGACGAGATTGACAATGACACAGTGCTACCTTCTCTTTACAGCATCCAACAAAGTGACCCCGATGATGAGGACGACGATGAAAGCGACGAGAGTATGGTCTCTGAGTTGCCAAAAAATGCAAGGCTCAAGCAGCATTTTGCAGCAAAGAGCGCCAAACACAGAAACAAGAAGGGGTTGTCGGATGCTTGTGACAGTGTTGTGCTCTCAAAAGCCCTGAAGACTAAACCACTCACACGGACTCTCCATCCAGATGAACAAGACAATGATACAGTGCTGCCTTCTCTCTACAGTGTTCAACCAAGTGATACGGATGATTCTGATGAGGACGAGGGTGATGAGAGTGTGGTCTCTGAGCTGCCCAAGAATACAAGGCTGAATCAGCATCTGAAGACTAAACCACTCACACGAACTCTCCATCCAGCTGAACAAGACAACGACACCGTGTTGCCATCTCTGTACAGCGTTCAACCAAGTGATACTGAGGATTCTGGTGAGGACGAGGGTGATGAGAGTGTGGTCTCTGAGCTGCCCAAGAATACAAGGCTGAAGCAGCATTTTGCCGCAAAGAGTCCCAAACAGAGAAACAAGAAGGGTTTGTCTGATGCTTGCGACAGTGTCGTCCTCTCCAAAGCACTTCAGAAGAAGCCACTGATGAAGAGCATTCAAGCAGAGGAGTATGACAATGATACAGTGCTTCCATCGCTTTACTCGGTAGAAACGAGAGAAGTGGACGAAGGGGGGTCTGTGGCTTCTTCGTATGTGCTGGAACCCACACGGAAGGGGCACACTTCCAACAGCCTTTTGAATGCCAGTGGCAAATTCCGTGCATTGGAAGAACGCAAGGGCCAGGCAATCACGAATGCATATGCGATGGACGATTTGATGATGAACACGAGCACGCTGTTGAAAGATGATTCGGGAGCTGGGGACAAAGACGGCAGCATTCGACGCAGGTCACTGGATGTTCTAAGCTCCTACAACAAAGCTTCTTCTTATTCTGGCAATAAGGCAAACCTGAGCGCATTGGACTTGTCTCCGCAAAAGCCGAAAAAGACGCTTTCGTACCAATCTCATTTTTCCAATGCCGCCCCGCCATTGACAGGGACCGATCAAACCAGATCCGCGAACCTGGACGAAGATGACGAAATCGTTTCTGTGGACGGCAGTTTAGAGGATCACGGAGAAGGTGCTCCTAGCCCTATCCGCCGGTACCATTCCATGCAGCCAGGCAGCAGCGCACACCGACGAAATGACCTCTGGCTCTACAAGAACAATGGCAACAACAACGATGAAAGGAAAGTGACTCGTCGACACTCGTATGGGACGAGTACGGGCCACTCTCGTGCGACCCTGGAATCACTCGACAACTCAGAGTCTGTCGTGGGCGAACTTCCTGAGCGAGGAAAGTTGCAACTCGTCAAGTCGAGCGACAGCGTAGAGCTAACGTTTGTCCGCAAGAAGAAGAGTGCCCAGAAGAGCGCCCAACAGAAACGCCAACGTTCGGCTAGAAGACTCAAGCCATGGACCAGCACTTCCAACCTGGATGCATCAATGGATCTGAATTTCCTGCATCAGTCCGTTCCAACTCATGGCCCGTCACCCTGGGAGCACTTTACGTCTGGTGGCGAAAACGCCGAGGAAGACCACTTGACCAGATCACAAAGGCTAGATCGCTGGTCGACGTCGTACTAATCGGGCAGGGAAGTCAACTGCTACATCGTTAGGTGGGTCAATCAAGACTGTACTATTTTGTTGGCATGGTGTGTAAAAACTAATAAGGATCTGAACTAGTATTTGGTGAATGGCGCATAGCTGCATCATACTACATGTAGTACGGTAGTGATGGCTGGCATGTGGGGTGGAGCAGAGGTTTTGGTTCCAGGTCAGGGTATCCGGATATGACACCACGCCACCACCTTCATCTGTGTTTGCGAATGTACTCGCACCAGGTACTAGTAGCCAGAAAGGTGTTCTTGGCCAGACTGTGGACCGGACCATCACGGGGAAGTGGAAGGGCAATGTGTTCATACCAAGAACAAGAGTTCCTCAATCAGCTGCGAAGGACAAGCTATAGCTTTGTCTCATGGTATCAGCTATCCGTGCTTCCATGCTGGCTAATAGCTAGTAGCTGGTACCAATTGGGCCTCTCCCAAGTGACATTGATTCGGATCGACTATTGTTTTGCACTGGCTTGCCGATGTTGTGATGAGACGCAGTCTCAGACGCTTGGCATTGCCCAAAAATCCCGTCTCTTTTGGGTTCCAAGGGTTCCAATAGCAACCTTGCCGCTCTCTTGAGTACTGTACCGAAAGCCGTGAGCTAGTACACAAGTAAGTGCATGTACTCAGTCCTGTAAAAAGGCAGCCTTCCTCAACAACAAAGTTGGTGGGACTTTTTTGGTTTGACTGTGACTCAAGGAAGATTGATTGAGCAGGGTAGCTAAGGTAACTATGAGAATACTAGTAAAGCCATGATTGCAATGAAGTTTTATATGAAAAATTGGGTTTACTAGCTGTTTACTCCATCTACCTCATCCCTTCAAGGCTTTCTGTGGATTTCTTATGAGGGTGAACCTTGACCAGTGAAAACAATGGGTCTTGGGTTTGAGGAATGCTTTAAATCTTCCAAAATTCCTGTGACTTAATAAGTCTTTTCCTTCATTGTAGATTTATATAAAGGGACATTTAAGCTTATTTAAAGAGAGTAACCGCGACACTAATTGGCATGTTCCAATAAGTTTACATCCAATGGCCTCGGACCTCGGAAGCTTGGAAGCGCGATCGAGCTTTCCAACGAGACATCGAGTGGATCAAGAGGTCAAGAGGTCAACAACAGGGAAGGTGCTGCCTGTAAACGTGGTCTATTACTTTTCAGGAACATATCAGACTAACTCCAACAGGGAAGCATAGAGACAAGCTCTACTACTAGCAAGCTAGCTGGCCATTAGAAGATAGATAGAGAGATCAAGATCAAGAGAGAAAATGGAAGCGCTATCTATGAACTTTGTAGTGGCTCCCTCGATGCACAAGGATGACTTGGAGCGTCAGAGGACGGGTTCTACCAAGGGCTCTTCTGGTGCTCTACTACAGGGCGACGATGCTTCCTTTTACGATGACGACGAATCAGACGATGGCGCTTCGGTAGATTCTGGCTCTGGCGGCTCTGAGTGCGATTCTGATGAGGATGAGGACGATCACGATGAGGAGGAGGAGGAGGAGGAAGAAGACGATGATGAATCGTATTCCTGTTCGTCCGAGGGATCAATGGAAGAGCATCAGGGGACGTTCATGATGGGACAACAATACTTTGCGGGCACTTCTTCTGGAAACAACCCCAACTGCTTTTCGGACAGTTTCGTGACTGATGGAGAGGCTTCCGAGAGCGCAGAGGACCCTCTCACCATGGAGGATGGCAATTCCAATCACACGCACGCCAGTTTACAACACAAATACTGCAGCAGCAACAACAGATCATGATGATGATGATGGTCATGCAAAATACCGGGACTCCCATGCCAGGCGCTCCCATGCCAGGGGTGCCCATGCCAGGGGTTCCCATGCCTCATGGCGCTCCCATGGGTTTTCAAGCTCCCATGCAGGATGCGTCCATTCACACGGATGTCCTCAGCTTTGACGCCATGTTGGGAACCGGGGGAAACAGCAACAACAACCAGAACCACAGCGCAGGCAGTTCGGCGGCCAATCTCGCCCACAGTGGCTTGGTCGTCGTAGATCCGAATCAGCCGGTACATCGTGTTTCCTCTCGTGGATCACTCTCGCGGTCTTCCAGCAAGAGTGGCAGTCGTCGCAGCAGTCGTCACAGTAGCCGCAGTCGCAGTGGAAGCCGAAGTCGCAGCAATTCCAGGAGCAGTACTAAGCAACGAAAGTCGTCAAAACACAACAGAGGAGAGCCCGAACAGCCACAAAAACCTCCCACGCTCATGCCCATGCCCACGGACGATGACGTCGAAGACGTGGAGGATTTTTTCGCCTCCTTGACCGTGTCAACCAAGCCCGCTGTACTGTCATCCTCCAGCAAGGACAAGAAGAAACAACGCACCAAAAAATCCAGCCAAAAAGACGAAAGAAAAAGCCGTAGCAAATCATCGAAGTCCAAAGAATCCTCCTCTTCCAAATCAAAATCCAAAGAAAACCACGACAAATCGTTGCGCAGCAGCAGACGCCGTGGCAGTGGTGGAACACTCGAACGTCGTGGCAGCGGCGCACCACTGGATAAACCACTCGAACGACAAGAATCTAGTAGGCGACGCGGCATTGAAGCGGCTGCCGATACGTTGGCCAATCCCAACCGCCGTCGATTGTCCATCTCCAACAAGGACACACCCATGATGGACTGCTCTTCGGCCAACCAGTCCCATCAATCGACGGCTCATCGCAGTCTCCCTGGACGGACGCCCGAACCCAAGGGCCGTCGCACGTCCATTGCCCAACGACGGGCCAGCATGACGGATCGTCGCACCAGTCGCAAACATGCCGCTGCCGAACAACTGGCCGCAGAAGAAACAGAAGCCGAATTGGCGGCGGCATTGGCCGAAGCGGCGTTGACACCCACCAGTCGGCGCAGCGTCCGGGGAAAGCATCGACTGAATCGCAACGGGTCCATCGAGGGTGCACGGCGGTCTTCTTCCATCCGCATCAAGAACAACAGCAAGCGACAGTTGTTGGTGGACGACCAAAAGACATCCAACAAGACGCTCTCCACGGAAACTTCGGGATCGTCGTCCGAACAACAACATCAAGACACGAGCGACAATAATCATCATGCTCACACAAAATTGGCACCCTCACGAAGAGATCGCAACAAGGTCACAACCGCACGATCTCGGATTCGTCGTTATGCCAGTGAACGCACTATGGAATCGTCGGGTGGTGGGGGAAGTATCGATGACGAGAGCAATAACAACAACAACAATAATCACAATCATAACGAGGAATGTATCAGCAACAGTCGGAGTGGAATGATGTCAAGGCGCAAATCGGCCATGACCAAGGGGTCGTTGCGTCGAGGACTCGGCAGGTGCAAGTCGGAACCGACCGAAGCGTTGCACGATATCATGTTTGTGGACATTGACGATTGTACTGTTATTGCCGACATTTACGACGATAACGATGATGATGACGACGACGAGGGCGTTTCGCCGTCTCCCAAGAGCGTTCGACAGCTGCAAGCCAAGGCGAAAAAGATGCAACAAACGCATCAGGCGGCCAAGGCAGCCAAAAATTCGCTACTCCTCAAATCCAACAAACCGACATCCGCGAGAAATATCATGAAATAAAAAAACATCCCATCCACCCAAGAAAGAAACTGGAAACGAAAGGCAAGCTTCTTTCCGCAACCAACCAACTTGGAGGAGCACAGCAACAACAAGCAACATTTCAGTAACATCATCAAGCATTCAGCAATCGTGTAGCACAATTTCATAACAAAATGTAGTACGATTTCAAAAAAGGAACCTAATCAACTTTCGCCTGTGGTGGTCGCATCTTGCGTCGTCCTACCGGAACTCGGGAGATTTGATCTCTCGAGCCACAACTTGGTCCTATACAGTTGTTCCGGAAGCAGCCCTCTCATCCAAAGATCACTGAAGCTTTTGAACACAGGTACATGCTGAAGGGGAGTCTAGCGTACTAGTATGGAAGATATCTAAGGATACCGGTACGGGCTGGCTGTGCTAGCTAGCTAGTAGCCATAGCGAACCAGCATGGGCCAGGCTTAAGCAAAAACGAGTTGAGTGGCTGGACAAGGGCCATTGAAAGTGGTGAATTCGCCCATGGACGAGGCACGAAGTCAGAACCATGATACCGGTACGTAACACTGGCAGTGCAACCATGGACTAAGTGTACCCCAACAAAAAGGCGCCGACAGCTTGGTCGTGAGTCACTGCCATTGGAATTGCTATCTATCTATCTAACTGGGTACCGGTAGCTACAGTCTTGTGTGCTCAAGTTTCGTGTAGGCGGGAAAGTTCGTATTCCCCATTGATGGCAATTTTCTATAACGAATAGACCGATGCTGGAGTATTTCTATGGCTCGAATTGTACGAACTCGTTCGTCGTTCCTGTCTAACCTCGAATGCTGCTGCCCCACCAAATGCTTCACTCAGAACCAGCTCTCTGCTGTTTTCTTTTTCTGAATTCTATCAAGATCATCAGGAGTGAATTGCAGTACAGTGCCAATGGCACCTTCCATGTGATCTCGCACAGTTGGGTCCGAAGAGAGGTAATTTACCATGAGATTCTTCAAGTAATTCAGCTTGGACTCCTCAGACCCACGATCTGTCAGAGTCTTCAGTTGGGCCTGTTGCGCCAAGATGGAAAGCAGCGTGAGTGTGGAATCGAATCCAATCAGGCATGCAGTCTGCCGAACAAAATGTTTGTCATCAAACACCACATGCATGAGACTTACCGACACATCACCATTTTGTTGCGATTCAAAGATTTCCTTGGCCTTTTTTCGATAGAGTCGAAATGATTCTTTCAGGTCTCGATACTTCATTTCATACTTGCCCGCGTCCGCCTTTCCCCGTTCCTCCAATTCTTGGGTTTGTTTGTGCAATGCGGTTTGTAGCTGTGCTTTTGCGGTTTCTTTTTCCTCTAGGCAAGTCTCATATCGTTGCCTCCATTGAGCCGCCAAGAGGGCTTCGGAACCCGAACTCTTCAACGCATTGTTTTCGGCCAGGAGCACATCGTAGGCTTCTTTCCAATTTGCCTCATTTTCGGCCATTTCAGCCTTGAGTTTGTTCAGTTCCCCTCTCTCTGAACGAGCCTGCTCCAATTGCTGGTCCTGTGTATATTATTATTGCAATGCATACATACATATATACTTTTGAGTTGGTGATGCCATCCAACCACGGCCATCTCTCTGTGGCTAGGTTGTGTAAATTGTAGCAAACACTTACCAAATCTTGTCCTTCGATGCGACGCTGTGCTGTCTGAACATGATTACTTTGTAACTCTTTGATGTGAGCATCCTGTTGTTTCCTGGAGAGTTCGGATCGAACTCGAAACCTCCTAAATTCCTCCATGACCTGTGACACTTCCTTCTTGGCTTCCTCTTGGATTCTAGCGGATTGCTCGGGTGCCAAGGAATAGGGTGGCAGAGTAAGGGGTTCTCCAGTATCCCTCCGAATAAAGTCTTCTAATTCCGTTTCTGCTTCAAATCGTTTCCATTTTCGATATCGGTTGGGTGGCATTGTGGCTGCCTCTGCTACTAGGTTGTCGGGCATGACTTCTTCGAATTCTACCAGTGCCCAGATTTCCTCGCCGCCATTTCTCGCTTGCTGGGCTTTGACACGCTGTAACACACATACAATAGAGGCACTGCTTTCTGCATCACCTCCCAAATCTCCATCGTCCATGGTAATGGCAGGTGTTCCAGAGGACGATGCCGTGTCCACACCACCCAAAGGGTTCTCTTTGGCTGCCTCTACTTCGCCTGTCCACACATACATGGAGAAAAAAGGGTTGGATTTCTCCAGACAACATTACAGTCAAATTTTTTGTCATGGTTACTTACGCTTTAACTGCTCCAACTCTTCCTCTTGCTGTTGGATGCGCTCCTTGGCCATTTTGAGTAGATTCTTGTATTTGCCATTGGCATCTCGCATTTTGTTCAGCTGTGCGGTCTGAGCCGCCATTTTGTTGTTGACGGCAGTACGGACATTGCTGTTGTTGTTTGTGTTTGTGTTTTGATCAGCCCCACCGTCTGCTGAAGAGGACGCATTATTGGTTGGAGAGGGAGTGTTTTCCGCCATGGTTGGTCAAAAGGAAGTGGACAACCAAACAAACCACAACAAGCAATGGACGCGGTGGCCGTTGTGGCTTGGGTTTGATCGAGCGGAAGCAATCGGCAATACAGTAGATACCGTACGGTAGAGATAGGGTCAATTGGCATCCACGATCTGAGCCTTGACGATGTAATGCGCGTAGCGTGGAGGCTGTGAGAAAGTCGAGCGAAGGATCGAATTGAATTGACACCGCCTGACCTTCACCATGGCTGGATCTGTTCTTGCTTTAAAAAAATACTGCAGCGGCAGAGGGGCACCACCAATACAGTAATCTGTTTGCAGGAAAATGCTCGCAGAACGCAGAACCAACCAATCTACAGAGCAGCGTGATGAGTGCGCTAATCTGGGCTTACGACAGTCATGAAAATGAACTCGATCCAGAACTCAAAGCAGCAGCAGAGTTTCGAGCCAACGAGACGGGAGAGCCCAGTGAAGCGGAGCAAACGGAACCAATTCTACTGCGCAACCTGTTAACGGACGATCAGATTGATGATATTTTGCAACAAGCGTCTGTGGATGGGGTGTGGCCTCGGGGAGTGTCGTCGTCGTCGTCGTCGGCGGCATCATTGCCTGTTGACACGATAATAGAAGCATCACCCCCGCCTTGTCACCAGCATCGGTTTGTCGAGTGTCTCCAAAATGACGACGACATGACGAAAAAGACTCTGAATAGCGACCTCCAATCCGTGCCACACCATCTTGCTTGGACGGACGAACACGTGGTATTGTACATGCACATGAACGACCACTGGTTTGTGCGAGCTTTTGGCACACCGTGGTCGATCATCCTTGGCGGAATGGAAATCCAACCGTGGATGGAAGGTGTGGCTCCGGTTCTGGACGAACAATGGATCGGGTCGGATGATTCCATGAAATTGGTACGCTGTGTGGAGTTGCATCATTATTCTGCCGGTGGTGGTCTAGTGACACCAGGACATCGTGATTGGGGGTCAGACCGAACCATTAGTGTCCTGCTGTCGGATCCTGACGATGTGGCGGGTGGTGACTTTGTCACTTATGAGAGCGATGGCACTCCAGTGGCCCATCCAATGAGGAGGGGCGATGCCATTCTGTTTCAATCAGAAAAGCTTCATAACATCAGCACCATTACCGCGGGTGTAAGGCAGTCGCTGGTGGTGGAGTTGTGGCCGTCCAAACGTTACTAGCTGGTAGTGTTCGGCTATACATATATGAAGTGTTTTTGGGTCAGCGATTTGCCACACCGCCCGTCACCATAAATATGCAAGCTCCAACCAAAAGAGCCAACAACTTGTGTAAACAAAATTCTTAGGCTATCTACGGTAGATGGAGCATCCACCTTTGGGCTGAACAGCAAACGGAAAAGAGGGCAGAAGTCGTCAAGAAAAACCATAGGGTGTTACAAAAATCAACCTCCCCAAGCAAGGTTTCAATCAAGGCATGAGATTTTGCCTTGGTCTTCATTAATCAACCCTACCAATTGAACCGCACCAAACGTATCTTGGAGAAACAAATTCTGCGAACAGGAAGAGTGATATTGCATCGATTGCAGGATATTCCCCATATTGCTGGTTTCGTTGCTTGAATAGATCATAATCAACTGGTCGGCCGGAAACCTGTTTCCACCATCGGACAGTGTGAACAAGTTTCCCACCACAACCCAGTCCCCGTGATAAATGGTGTCGTCATCTACATCGGTAACAACTATAAAAGCCGACTCTCTTCTCTGCGTTGGAGGCCCTCCATTGAAATCGTCACAAGTGAAATAGTTATCACCATTTACAACGTTCACTTGATTTGTCTGGATTGAGCAAGTGTTTTGGCAGTCTCCACCATGGAAGTAATAGGTCATCTCCAATGCACGAGCTGTGCATTCCTGTGCCTTGCCATAATCACGAGCCGGGCAGTCTTCAATAATACCACAACCGACAGTAGTAGGCAACGATGAAGGCATCGTGCTGGGGGAAAGTGAAGGGCTATTGGATGGTGATCTTGTGCTGGGTGACAAGGAAGGGATTGTGGAAGGATAAAATGAAGGCATTGCCGAGGGAGCAGCTAATGGCGTCAAGGTTGGCGAAATTGAAAGGGTGGCAGTAGTAGGCAACGATGAAGGCATCGTGCTGGGAGAAAGCGAAGGGCTATTGGATGGTGATCTTGTGCTGGGTGACAAAGAAGGGATTGTGGAAGGATAAAATGAAGGCATTGCCGAGGGAGCAGCTAATGGCGTCAAGGTTGGCGAAATTGAAAGGGTGGCAGTAGTAGGCAACGATGAAGGCATCGTGCTGGGAGAAAGCGAAGGGGTATTGGGTGGTGATCTTGTGCTGGGTGACAAAGAAGTGATAGCGGAAGGATAAAATGAAGGCATTGCCGAGGGAGCAGCTGATGGCGCCAAGGCTGGCGACATCGAAGGGGTGGCAGAAGGCAATGACGACTCTTGTGTCCCCACTGACATAGGATCGCTGATGACGCCATTGTTGCTGTTTCCATCACTGCTGCCGTTCGTTGAAATAATGAGAGCAATGACAATGGCAGCAATGGAAACTATAAAGACAGATACAACTCCAAAACAGAGCCAATACTTTGCGATGGAGTTGGTGCTGGCGTTGCTTTCCCTCGGATCTGGATATTGTTGTTCGTACGAGACTAGTGAAGCTACCGGCACTAAAGCAGCCGGTTCGACTTGTGCGTGAATCGTATCAGAAGCAAGTGCAGGATGTGGCTCATGCTGCTGCTGCTCCGCTTCTCTATCTTCCTCTCGAGGTGGCTCCACGTCACGAGAAGCCCTGGCCGTGTTTCCTGATAGGGGCAATCTCGACTGTCGAATTATGGCCGCCTTTGCCCCGGTTACAGCCTGAATGTTTGCAACGATTGTTGCTGTTTGAGATTGTTGTCTTGACCGCCGTTTTGCGTCTTCAACCCTCTGCTGAGCCAACTGATGTGCTATGGCACGATCTTGCTCTTCCGTGGCATCTTTGGGAGCCACCAGGGCCAGTTGGGGCGGTTCTAGTTGGGGTGTCTCAACATCACTACTCGGGATCTCAGTACTACCAGTAGTCGACATTTTCGTTGTCCCTCAGTTCTTGCGACAAGTACTCTTAGTGCAATGACAGAGAGGAGGAAGAGGCTGAATGACGAAAGTTAGTTTAGAAGTACGGTAAGCTGGACCCCAATTGAAATCCTTCGGTGGAAGATCTTTGGGGGTTAAAACAGCAATAAAAATGTTGAAATCACGAATGGTAAAAATAAGATTTTTGGACGTCACATTTTCTGGCACAATCAAATTCCCACTGTCTTTGCGCTCTTCTATCATTGAATGATGCTGGTACCGCCGGTATTGGAACCGGCTTGCATCATCACACGTGTACAACGGAAGAGATTGAGGCCTTGTGCGTACCAGTATGCTGGTCCTTCTCTGGTACTGTAGTAGTTGAAGCCAAGTTGTTTTTTCATATCGCATCAATTTCACCCACCCAGTGAACCTTCAAAATGATGTTGTCTCTTGAGGCTCCGACTTGTTGGGCACTGCTGTTGCTATCGTTTCTACCAGTACAGCTGGCATCAGCCAAAAATATGAACAATGGAGTCTATCACATAGCCAATCCCGCGGCTACAAAGGACGGTTCTCCTGGCTATTCGACAGAGTACCAAACTGAGTACTTTGAAGTCTACTCAGCCGTCATCAGCACCTACTATAGCCAAGTCTATTGGGCGCTGTTGGATCCAGTGAAATTGCCAGAACATATCCTGAAGCGCTTCGCCAACAAAACTATGGCCATTGTTGGTTACGAGGTGGATCAAGTACAAGTACAGCCTGATGGTACAGAGATCCCCGTCCCTATCACCCATGCGTACAACCATCACTACCTGACAACCATCTGGGATTCCACAAAGGTAGAATTGGTCAAAAGATCCAAACCAACACACTATGGACATAATAATGGCCATGGAGAGCCGTTCACGTTTGAGGATCTTTCTCCTCAACAAGGCCCTGTGAAATTAGGAGGCGTTCAGATTCCTTCCAAGCAGAGTTTCTTCGAGGGCAACGGAGCCGAGATGAGGCTTTCCTACCACGGATATCCAAAGGGATATGCCCAGCTGGTTCACAATCCAGATTCATGGAGTATCTACGTTATGCAAATCGATACGTGGAATCGGGAGGAATCCTCGCCCAAGTTCAAGCCTGGTCCACTCCCCAAATCGTCTCCTGTGTACAACGATTCTACAGCAACCTACAGTGGCTTGCTGGAATGTCCGTGCAATGATAAAATGTTGAGCACCAAGGTGTATTACAAACGCTACAAAAGTTTGAATCTTTCTGATGAACACCAATGCGTAGGCCAACTGCGTAATGCATCCGAGTGCTGGGAGGGAGGTCAGTTTGTCGCGCCCACTCCTAACGTGCGCACACACATGCTGAAGGGGGACGATTCGAAACCACCTTTTTGCAGTGTCAGGCTACACGATGATGGCGCTTTGGATGTATTCTGGAATGACATGGCCGACTCGGTGCTAGACCACCACCAAGTGCGTGAAGATCCCAGCAAAGTGATCGGCTTTGTCTCCAACAACGCCATCAATGCCAGCGTCTCCTTGGATTCTGGTACGAACGCTGCGACATTGACCCTGGTTGGTCCTGCTGATGCCTGGTTTGGAATGGCTTTGGGGACCGATACCATGTGCAACGAGGCCTGGGAAGGAGATGAATGCCCCGAGACCGGTGCTGGGCCTTACGCCATTATTGTCTCTGGTGATTCCGTCCAAGAAAGGAACTTGGCCTTCCATGGAAAGGGAGTCATTCTGCCACCTTCGATCAAGGTTATCTCGAATACAGTGGAAGGGGGAAACCGCACTGTAGTTATCACCCGTTCCTTGCAAGGCGCAGATGACCGCTACTTCTCCTTTGACTCACGCGGTGCCCTCAATTATCAAGTACCTGTCATTGTTGCTCGCGGTTGTAGCTTGACATTTGCCCAACATTGTCAACACGGTTCCACAATGCTCAACTTTATCAAGGTCGAAACTCCCTTGCAGATATGCCAAGATGGGATTGTTTCGCAAATTGGAGGACGCAATTTTGAAATGGATGGAAGATGCCCCCCGGAAGCCAGTTCACTGTTTGAACAAAAGAATCCCTCTTGCTGGTTAGATACCTATCAAGGTGGACTCAGCTGTTGTCATCACCTCCAGACGCTCCTGGATTCTGACCAATATATTCCCTGGAAGGATCAACTGTTGGAGTATCAAATCAAATTTCGGTACTATTTCGAGGAGTACGTTCCTGCCAAGGCAACAGCTCCACCCTCGCATCAGAATCTGTATCGTATATACCGCCAGACTGAATCATTTGCTGGCGAGTATGATGTGGTGCAATGCCCCCCTGGAACCCCACCATCCCAATGCGTTCATCAGATCACTGCACGATTTTCCGTCTTGGATTTGCAGAAGGACTCTGGAAGAGAAGACGCCGACGGGATTCAACTCGTCTACGCTGGACCACATTGCCATGCTCCTTCTTGCTTGAGCATGGAGCTTTACAATGCGGACACGGGGCACTTGCTGTGCCGATCAGAACCCATCAAGGGACAGTCAACAGACAGAGTGTATGACGAATTGGGATACATTGCCATTCCACCATGTCTGTGGGGGTACGAAGAAGGATTGATGGACCCCATCTTCTTGCCATCCAACGCAACTCTGCTGGCGATAAAGCGAAACAACAATACTTTGCTGCACACTGGAGAAATGGCATCATGGCAGTGCCGTGGCGTGTTTGTAGTGAACAAGAAAACAGGTGCAGAAACTGGGGATCGGGGAAAAGCCGTCAACAAGGAAAAGACGATGTTCCAAATTGACGTTGCCGAGAACGATGAACAGGAACTAAACCAACGAAGCCGGAGGGGAAGCCCGGAAGTGCCGGTATAGCCTGTCATGTTTGTCCCTGTTGACCTCTCCTCTACTGCCTTCATGATGTACACAATTGTCAGCTGATCCCTTCGTGGAATCGATTCAAGACTGCATAAGTTGTGCTTCTTTTCAGCGGACGGATGCACCCTTAGCCACACTACCGGAACTCTAGCCAGCATTTCCAAAAAGCAAGGTTGCATAGCATGCCCCCCCCCCCCATTTTTGAAGCATTTCATCCAGTCGTTTGACTACTGTTTCTCGATTCCCTCGGTTGGTGATTACAGCTGTGATTCCCTTGGGCAATTTGCCAAACCACGGATGCAACGACTGTTCGTGGGGAGGCAGCGTACTCTTGACCATGCGATGGACCTTTGTTCGGAAATAGTCTTGACATTTACAGATCTGCTCAATGCCATTGAACGTCAGGGCCACCTTGCTTATCCACTTTCGCCAAGTAGAGTTGCCCTGACCTTGCACCGTGTACTAGGACACGTTTAGAGTGCGGGAGCTCATGAAATCGACGTGATGTCGGGGATTGGACACGTTTAGAGTGCGGGAGCTCATGAAATCGACGTGATGTCGGGGATTGGCGTTGACTCTCCAATTGTTTCGACTGGTACCATGTCCTTCCAACCGGATGATCTGAGAGGTTGGAAAGTGTCGAGCCTTGTTAGCTTCCTTTGGCGTTCATTTTCCGGTACAAAAAAGCGCACACTTGGGTGGACGGAGAGGACCTGGTATGCATGAATTGTAAGACCATGCCGATGCCAAATGGCGTCCTGCGATTGAAAGAATGGCGGCACCAAGGAGGCCTGTATAGAACAGGCTATAAGACGGTTGTGTTCTTCAGGATTGTGCAAGTAAGCTACTTTTGGTTTGAATCAATGCCACTACGCAACGACGTGTGCTGGCTCAACCTACTGGCAAGCTCAAAAAGCACGAGTTAAGATAGCAAGCAACGTGGAACCTTCATTGAGCAAAATTGAATGTATCGTTTTGACCAAAAAGCTGGAATTAAGTGCTTTCCTAAACACACAAAAAACTGAACGGATTCAGACGAGATGTGCTTGAGGACTACCCACGAGCTAAGGCCCGGGTATTTCCCACAGTCAAGTCTGCTCACCGGCCACACTGGCCTCCTGAGAGGGTGCGACGCCTGTTAGCTATCTAAGGATTTGTACACTGAGGTCGGAGCCATGATTCACCACAAATCACGAGCTCTTTGTTGAAGAGAGTTGGGGTTGGTAAAGAAGTTTGTGGGGGGTAGCTTTCCTAAACACACAGTGCACGTTGTGTGGGGACTCAGTAAGCTATCTACTTTGCATGAGGCAGCCACGGCACATGCACACAGGCCTCCTCTCTCCAGGCACGTTGGACCCAATTGCATCCATCACAACTGTACTGAACAACTATTCCACAACAAGAAAACAAGTTTAAATTGCACTGGACAACATCGGAAGGCGGATACCCCAATTCCAAGACAATCTTCACCTTGACAAAAAGAGATTGATTCAATTCCACGCGATTTCCATTCGAAAATAAAGAGAGTTCTACAGTGAGCGACTGAGGCCATGAGGTTGTCGAATGAATGAATGATTGATTGCACAGCAAGTGAATGAATCAGCTCGTAAAGTTCAAATGGAACGAAGGTTGGGTGTCTTAATCTTTCTTTTGAGTAGGAGCGATAAAAGCTTCACGAAACGCCAAGTTTGACTTTTGGCATGTCTTTCTTCCTCCTTCTGAGTATGCGAGAATGTTTTGCTTTCCCAGTTCGAATATTTCCTCTTCACATTTGATTTCTTCGTATTTCAGTCCTTCCAGGAATAGCAAGACTCTCCTTTGATCCGATGTAAAGGCCACAAAGTCCACGCCCAAGTGGGGAGAGCGATTGACTTTTTGTGCGTCCTTGAATTTGATGACTTGTTTCTCTCTTCCATTTTTGGAGTTGGTGATGATAATTCCCCCGCATCGGCGCTTGGCCCATGCATCGACAATGGTTTGAAAGTGAAACCTCAATTTGGAGTTCTTGATCTCTTTGCGCGCCTGATAATCAAAGGTTGTATCGAATTGACCATCGGATGCCTCCAACCAGACAATCTTGGCTTTTACCTTGACATCCTTGCTGGCCTTCTTACCACCAAATGCAAATGGATCCGCCTTGGCCTTCTTCTTTTTGCTCATCAACACAAATCCCAACAGGGCCAGCACAGCAACGACTGCTGCGCCCACGATAATTGGCAGATTAGGATTGTCCATGGTCTCAAATGAATTGCGTACGATATACTTTCAGTGAACCAAATCTCTCTTTTTCTCTGATGATGCCCGCCTTCTATTCTACAAGTAGCCGGCCAGCGGAAGCCTTGAGAAGTGATTCAGAGTTTAGAAACCCAGAGAGATGAGAGATCCCGCAGAAGACAACAAGTGGCAACAGCAAACCCGTGGGTGAGTGTTCTTGTGTTGGTCTTTTTCGAAATGACCCCAATGACCATTCTTCTGGGAATCTCAGTAAGGATGGGGTCTCACCTTCTTTTCCCGCCTTCTCCCGCCATTGGTTTTTTATTTGCCGCCAGCCTGGCTACGGTAACGCCGACCAGCACCGACTTACATGTAGCTCACCCGCGCCCTTTTGTTGATGAAGCATCTATCATAGACCGGAGCTCTACTGTACTAGTACAGAAGCTACATGTAATAGCTAGCTAGCTAGTACTCAGTAGAATGTGATGCAGTTGTGATACTTTCACGCCACGGCGATAAACCTTAGTTGGTTTGTGTAGATACCCATCTATTTAACCATTTTTCGTTCAGCAAAGAGTGGTTTTACTACCCTGGCTGAGCCCGAGACGTCAATGACCGTTGTATTGATTTGGGGTTATCGTGAAGTACTCTACAGCTGGACTCGTCACTCTTTGGTCTAACCACTATGTAGCTAGTAATTCGATTGTGATTCCATTGGATTGGATCATTGGTTTCGTCTCCAGCAGGCTGCTGGGCTGCTAGCTAGTATCTTTTCTACAACCGTATGTAGACATTCCAGCAGAATCTACGATGGACTCTACTTGACTCATTATTAGTCTACTTTCTTGGTTGGTTTCTTTTGAGACAGGTTCGGCCAGCCACAGGTATTCATGATACATGTATCCTCGCGCCCGCATTTTCACCATCAAGAGGTGCCATCTACAAGCCAAAAAGTTGTCGAAACGCACCGATTAAGTTGTGGCATCTAGCTAGTAGCTACAGCATTAGCTACCGCTTGGTTGTATTCAATAATACCGATCATGTACTCCAGTAGTCTACATCATGTACTCGAGTATCGGTACCGGTAAATCAGTTTCGTCCAAGATTTTGCTTATTAGCTTGATGGGATCTTTTTTTTTGTGACCAACCGTCCACTTTTTGGAAAGGTCCTTTCACCCGACTTGACGCGCTTGTTTGTTGGATAGTGGCGCGGGACCATTTGTCACCTACGAGAGGAATTGCACGTGGGAGTCACGTAAGGCAGAAAGCCGTGCGATTTATTTCTGTCGCCGCGAAAGAAAAAATGAGAAACACAGTACGTTGACAAATTGGACGATTGATTGGTTCCGTATGATCTTTGTGTGAAGGGAGGGCCGAGAAGACCAATGCTGAAGCGAGGATGAATAAAGGCCATTTTACCTTGTTCTCGATTGGCGGCAGTCGAGCTCTGGAGGACCACGAGAAACAACTGGATTCAAATTCCAGTACTACTCCATCATCCGTCGTTCCTTTCAGCACTGCTACAACTAGTACTACCAGTGCCGGTCACCTCGATAAGGCTGATTCCTCCTTGGCTACCAACAAGCTTGTCGTCGACCGACAGCATTGTCCTGTCGACAAAGACAACACAGAGGACCTGGTAGGAGGAGAAGCAGAGAGTCAGGATCAGCAGACAACAGCCACTCATCAGTCTTTCTCGGAGGATTCCTCCTCCTTCTCGGCACTTTCTCCCACAGACCCACTCGTCCCTTGTCACTCTCCACCACAAACGTCATCGCCGCTACTACAACAAGTAGTGACTACTACCATGAAACTCTTTGGCAACAACAACAAAGACGGCGGCGACAAGCCCAATCAACCGTTGGCTTCCAAGGACCAAGTGGCGATCGATGATGACGACATCAGCAAAGAAGACAATCAGAGCACTCAAGACTACGAAGAAGAAGAAGATGACAGTGTTGCATTGAATGGATACTCGGCTGCTTCTCGTTTTGACGAAACAGCATCGTTGAGAGGATCGTACATGGCTCCTCCACGGCCTCGCGCCGATTTTGCCGCTTTGGAACATGACACAGATTTAGAAGCCACTCAGAAATTGCAACACGACGACGACGATGATGGCAGCATTGAAGTCGGTTATGCGGACGGCGATGTACAAGACACGGTACAAAAGAATCTGGCTGCCATTCAACTCGAAGAAGAACGCCAACAAGTCAAACGCCACTACCGACGTCTCTTGTTACTCTCCAATCTACTCTTTGTACTCGGATCGGCCATCTACATGACCATGGCCGTCGATGATCTGAGATGGGCGCGGGAAGCCAGGTCCATTCCAGTCCATGTCCTTACGGCAGACGATGATCAAGTGTGGATGGAATTCCGGGGCCAAACTACGGACGCTCCCGTAATGGCTACGACCCAGGCGCCACAATCGACAATTGTTACCATTACCACCACCACGTTTACCACCGACAATGCGACCACACCCACTACTACTACTACCAACACGGGCCGCCATGCGGGTGGCCGTCATCGAAAATTGTCCACCTACGATGACTATGCCTGGTCCGAATTGTCGCCCGAGCTTCAGGCGGCCGCCAACGAATTGGGATACGATGAATACAGTTGGGACAATGGGATTGCCTCCCATACGGAAGAATTGTTCTGGAGTGACTTGACGGAAGAACAGCAAGAAGCTGCCGCGTTGATGGGGTATACACAAGAACTCTGGGATGGTACCTCCTCGGGCACGGATGATGCCGTTCCTAAAACAGATGATGGTACTGCTGCTACCGATGATGGTGCAGCAACCACAGATGATGCAGCAACAACAGATGATGGCACTGCTGCTACCGATGATGGTACAGCAGCTACCGATGATGCAGCAACAACAAATAATAACGATCCAGTGGCGGCACAAGAAGAACCCATTCTGCCTTACGATGATGTGCTGTGGGCAGATTTGGACCAAATTGTCGTCTTGTCGGCACAACTTTTGGGTTACGACGAATATCGATGGGACAATGATCTGCCGCCGGCCTTGATTGTGGATACCAACCCCGGTTGGGATGATTTGACTAGTCAACAAAAGGAAGCGGCACAGACGCTGGGGTACGATGCTGATACATGGTGGTTCATTCGACGCAATTATGACGAGTTTACGGTAGATGTCAGTAGTGAGACTGTGGGAAATGGTGCTGGAGCAAACAATAATGGTGACAATGGCAATAGTAGCAACAATGGTGGGTCGGAGAATGGTCAAGGTAGCGGTGTTGCCCTCGCTCAAAGCACTCTTCCTCCAGGTATTTCAGTCCAGTGGGAACTCTTCAGTTGGGATGAGCTTCCAGAGAATGTGCAAGAGGCCTATCGTCTGTGAGTGTCACGATGAGTTATATGGTTTTCTAATAGGCATCCGCCGTCATATATTTGTTGCTCACTTTCTTCTTCTCATTGTGCTGGGCAGGTTGGGTTGGAACCAGAATCTATGGGACAACAGTGGATCGGTGGATACTGATGACCTTTGGTGGAGACAGCTTACGCCAGATCAGCAACAGGCAGCCCTCTTCCTAGGTTACACAGAAGCCATGTGGGATGCAGCAAGCACCAGCGCGCCCCAAGGCAGCGGAAACGAAGGAGCACAATCAGAAGCAGCAGCACCAGGTCAATCACCGCCAGCATCTTCATCGTCTTCTCAACAGGTCTCCATTGTCTGGGAGGAGTTGGATTGGGACGACCTCCCTTTGGACATTCAAGAAGCATACATGGGCTTGGGCTACAACAAAACAATATGGAATTCCGAAGGCAGCGTTCCAGCGGAGGACATGTCGTGGGATGAGCTTACGCTGGCGCAACGTGCCGCCGCCATTTCCATTGGTTATACACAATCTGCCTGGGACGGAACTGAGGTAGCTACCACGAGCGGTGTTGACAGTGGCACAGATCCCACAACTGCCGGAAATCCAACCCCTGGAGTTTCAACTGTTGGTGGTGATTCGGATGGCGCCAAGGATGGGGAAACTATCCAACCAACTAGCGTAGCACAGCAAACGGAATCTGAACCCCCAGATCAGGAATGGTACGACTATTGGTGGTCTGAGTTGCCGCCAGATGTTCAGGACGCTTATGCAGCACTCGGATACACTCAGCATGCATGGGACAACGGTAAGGTTGTTGCAACGGAGGACATGCCATGGCAAGAATTGTCGTCGGAACAACAAATGGCTGCAGAATCTCTGGGATACACACAGGTAAGAATTCACGATGCTCATCATGTGGGTGGGGGGAAACTAAAAAAACACGATGCCTCAACGACGTGTGTGTTGTGATGTTCACAAACAGGAAACGTGGGACAAAGTTAGCCACCATGCTCCCATCTCTACGAGCAGCGAATATGTCAGCGAGGACGATGACTACATCTTCTTCGTCCCTTCCCGGCAGGTTTGGGTGTCGAGATATATGATCTTGTACTTCTCGGCCGCACTGTGCTTTGTTATCGTGGGTGCGGTCGATTTATGGCGAGAACGAAAGCTGTTCCACGTGTGTTTTATCGTTGGAGGTCTATTCGGCTTGGTGAGCGCAATGCTGATCGAACGAAACCGAACTGCCAGCAACATCACGAACTTGATCAGCGTCCACTTGTACCTCCTCGAAGGGCTGAGCATTATCAAAGAACGCTTGGAATCCAGACGGCAACACTATGAATTGGAAGACGAAGATGAGGATGAGATCAGCGTTCCTGATACATCCTTTCTATCAGGCCTGTGGTGGATACCGACAATCCAACTCTCTGCTGACTTCTTCTTTGTGGTTGGGGCCTTCATGGACGCCATACTGAGTTACTTTTATTTCAAGGAATCATCGGATTGGAACCTGGCTTTGGCACGGGTGTTTGGCTTTTCCACGCTCTTGTGGGTTGCTTGTTCCATCCTGTATCTGCTTATCACATTGGTGCTGTTTTATGGGGTCTTCCCATGTTGTTTGGGTCAACTCAGACACCCCAGAGAGGTTGCCTTGGTCGAACGGGCATGTAGCCGAATGACATATGTTGGACCACTGCCAACTTTCACGGCACGGTCATCATCAGACAGCTTGGATAGATAAAAGCAACCACCGCCAGATGGCTAGACTGATGTCGTCATTGATGTACTAGTAAAACGATTATTTTTGTGCGAGCTATCAGGCAGTCTGCGACTTATCAATCAGTCTGACTACAATACCGGTATGGTGGCGACTGTTGGTAACGGTACCATGGTATCAATCTCTAGCTAGCTAACCGAGACCGAGAACAAATGCTCTCTTGGCCCGGCAAAGTCGTCTCTCGTAAATGCTTCGCTCACACATCCCCAATCCTTGGAGTTCACCACCGACACTTCCGTACCAGACCAACCAACTACCGGTCAACCTTCAATCCAGGGAGCACAATGATGGGCTACGCTCCAGAGCATCCGCCTCGATCTAGTATGCCTTACTTTGGTGAATCAACCAGATTGATCCGAGCGTGGTACGTGTGATTCAGGGCAGAACATCTTATTTCGCTTTAGTGCTCTTTGTTTCTATTTTAGCTTCCTATAGAGGCCCGGTCAAACACTTTGCCATTCGAGATCTGTACTGCTCGGTACGTTCTGGCTTTCTTTCGACCTTGGACTACTGCGACACATGACGCACAACGATCAAAGTCACGCGGAACTCATTCTCAAAAGGGTCTACTAGTGGTACTGACCATCACTCCGAGCCTCGCTTCCGCCCAATTTCGACATCGTTCCTCCAGAGGCGGTGGGAGCGATTACCCGATCCTCATGGTCTGCGGTGCCGCTAGAATTCCGAAAAATGCTGCGTGACGAAGCAGCGTCGTCGTTGGTGATTGAATCATCCCAAGGCCACTTTCGATCCTTGGGAAAGTCGATTGAATTAATGATGGTCTTCAGAATTGTGGCCTGTTCGAATACTGCTTTGTTGCTGAGGTTGCGATCCTCGCGTTCCTTTTTAGGCTCCGAACTTTCCTCCGTCGCCCTGTTGTTGCTAAACTCGTCAGGAGCGAACACGTCCACAATGCCCGCTACTTCGTGGCAAAGCATCCGCGTCTTGATGCAAAACGAGCCGCCTCCTTCCGTCATGCACGCACGGATACGAATCTTCATGCTTAGCTTGTTCCATTTTCCAGGGAGCAACTCACTGAGTTCTATAGCAGTGTCTTTTGCTTTGCGAAACGGATTAGTCAAGTCGAGTCGAACAAAGCAACGTGAGAGGCGCCGCATAGACACAGACACACATTTCACAACAGTTCAATGCAGTCAATACATGCAACCAAGCATACTTACCGAGCTTCAACTGCTCTTGGATTTGCGATTCTTTCTTTTCCTCCAGAGATTGCATCATCTTGAAGAGAGTGACGAGTGACAGTCGACCAAAAAATGGGCAACGATTTGTGAGCTTCGGCACTTTCAAGAAAACGAGGAGGCTGAGAAAATTAGCCCTAACACTAATATTACGTACCGTGCCACGCCTCTGCTCCTCCGAGACATTTGAATTTGGGACGGTCAACACCGAGACGTCGTCGTCCTCATGGTCAGTTCCTGCGGGCGACATGTCAAATTAGGATTCGATTCGTAAGCGTAGATGAAATAAGAAAGCAAGTGTTGCTTTTGCGGACAGAGTTTTATGTACGGTAGGATCTGCTGTTCGACCGAGTAGGCACCAGAATGAACGTGGAACCCACGCTGAGAGATTCGATCCGTGCCCTGTACGGTTCGTACTATATATATATTTTTTTGTCGTACAATACGACGCATGTCCATAAATATCCCTCAACCGCTGGCGGTACATCATGTTGCATGATACGGACGGATGATATGCACAAAGAAACGCAGGAAAACCCACTCTCCAATCTGCAGCAGCAGTGGGGCAGCTGCTTAGAATCTCTATTCCATCTCGGTACCAGGTACAGCTTACCAAAAACCGACAAAGGGTAATCGTCGCTCCCTGCCCAGATTATCTCTACTTTTCTCGTTTCAGTACTAGCTACGGTAGCTAGTCTAACGATGACATTGGTTTTCTCCTTGACCATGTGCATACCAACTCCCTGGATTGGGCAAACCCCACTTCTTGTCCAGCTCCTAAACTAGACTTCATAATCAGCGCCTACTATTACACTCCAAACTCGAATATAAGAAACTCCACTACAAGAAAGCGAGCCCTTAGATTTTAGAAAATGTTAAGAAACTCTTGATCCTGAAATATCACTGACTTGTAAGAAAGCTTCCCAGTATTGAGACCTCAAAGCATAAGAAATACTACTAGTCTGACACCATGAAAATGCTTCAAACTTGGGCCTAATCTGCAAAATTTTCTGCCGTGAGGCAGAGACAGTGATCTCCATCTCTATTTGATCCAACCCAATTTACAAGTCCTGAGCAAGTTGGACCAAAAGGCCCAGGTGCACTGGGTGTATTCAAGTACTACCCTGCTTAATTCAGAAGCATAGCAAGAACGTCTTCTATGCTGAAATTGGCTTGTTTTGTTAGAAACAATCTGAGGGGCCAAAATGGTGCTGCTTGGTAAGAAAGGCCCAGATCTGCACTGAATTTAGAGATTTCTTATATGTGAGTTTGGAGTATTATATCCCTTTTAATTAACAGTGCTATGCATAGTGCACTTGTAAATTTCAAAAGCAGCTTCTAATTTTCCAAATTTAAAAATCAGCTTCGACTACTACAGGTATTAATTACTTAGGAGACTCTCCAACTTGGAGACTATTGGAGTATTCGAAATGAGCTCATTTTAAGATTCCACTTTTAGGTCCAGTAGAGCTACTAGACTATAGCAAGATCATGTCAATATGGGTCTATAGAGGTTGTACACCTCCCCTCCAGACTAGGATCCAGGCAAAGGCAATGGCCCTGGTTATACCAGAGAGGCCTGCTGCATGTATCACAGACAGACCTACTTCCATCCAATTTACCCGGGCGGGAGGGAAGGGAAAAAGGAAAATTGGTGTCGGGCGGCTGCAACTCTGGTTCAGAAAAAGTGAACCTGATTTGTAGCCGCCCGATTAGTAGTCCTTCTAGCTAGTCATCAACACCACATAGGCACACCACCTGTGCACCCGACACTTCGGTCCACCACCTCATCCTTGGATGAGTGGCTCTCCCGGATTCCTGTCCGTCAGTCTCCTTATGGTCGGCTCCCTGTTAACTCATACTCTCCGTTCTGTAGAATCTCTTCATTCCCTGTCTGGGAAGGTGGGCGATTCCACTTTTAGGTCAAGTGGAGCTACTAGACTATAGCAAGATCATGTCAATATGGGTCTATAGAGGTTGTAAACCTCCCCTCCAGACTAGGATCCAGGCAAAGGCAATGGCCCTGGTTATACCAGAGAGGCCTGCTGCATGTATCACAGACAGACCTACTTCCATCCAATTTACCCTCCGTCGGAGCCAGACCCTCATGACTGACCATAGATATAATCCCCCGTGTCGGCCGGCCAAGCCGGCCAATTACGCCGCCGACTGCCAGGGAGGTGGCGAGCTTTGCGTGTTGCTGTTGTTGTTGCTGTTGTTGTTGTTGCTGCGTTTTTTATGTCCCGACCCGGCTGTAGAGTTACCTGCTTTCATCAAGCGGAAGCCGGTGTCGGTCTTGTATACGTCGATGTGATACCCGCCGGGCACCTTGGGGTCCAGCTTGATATTCCAGAACGGCCATTGGCCAGGGCGGGATCCTTGGATGGTACCCTTGCGTCCATTGTACTTGTCGTTCCGAGAGATGATGATGCGGTCTCCCTTCTGCCACTCGCGGTATGGTTTGACGAAGGCACGGCTCTTACGGGGTCGAGTGGGTGTTGGTACCGCGGATGGCGTTGGTTGAGGCGTCGCCTCCCGTAGTTTGGCTTCCAGCTCCAACTTGGCCACTCGTGCCGTGAGGACCGCCAGGTCGTCTTGCACTAGGTGGACCGAGTCTGAGATGTCTTGGACTTGTTCGGTGAGGAGTTCCAAGTCGTCACAGGTATCGTACCATGTCTCTGAGTCGCTCATGATGGACTAGGTGCTGGTGTTGTGGAGATCGATTGCAGTTGTAGTGGCCAGTTTTGGTAAAGTGAGGACCTGCACTTGGTGTGACCGTAGGATTTGAATGGTCGGGGGCAACACGTCCCGCGCGATAGACGCGCGGAGTGTGTGTTCCTTAAGTAACCCTATTTGTTGGAGATGTCCGTCGCGCCGTGTCAACGGTGGTTCCTTCGCTGATGTCCGCCATAATCAATTTTGTCAACAATTCTACGGCCGTCTCCGATAGCTCCAACCTCGAGGAGATGGACGAGGAAGATGCCGACGATGATGACAACCCGCCGCCGCTTGCTGCGCATGGGTTCCATCCCTATGAGGAGTCCGATGATGAAGAAGAAGAGGAGGATGAAGATGGCTCTGACGAGGACTTCGAGGAGGAGGCGTCGGACAAAGACGATGAGCCCGTGGTGGTGGGCGTGAAGTCTCCTCCCCCAGCCGTTCAAATTCCCGTCCGTCGGGCCACCGCGGTGTCATCGGCGTTGACGTCTCCAGCTGTTACTGCCGCAGCTGGTCTGGCTCCTCGCACGGTGCAGACGGCTCGTCGCCGTGGGGATCAGCTTCCCCCCCAGGTTCCCTTGTTACAGTCTCCGCCTCCTGCGACCGTCTCGACTCCGGAGGGTCCCACGCCAGGAGCCTCTAACGTGGCAGGCCCCACTCCTGGTGTCCCAGTGGCCGCTGCTGCTCCGCGCAAGGCCCAGAGCGGTTCGACCAAGAAAAAGGCGAAGCTGGTGCGTAAAGCTCAGTCGGGAGGTAAGAAAGTGAAGGCCCCCAAGGCCAAGTCCGCTCCCAAAGGGGTAAAAGTGGTAGTGCCCGTCCCCCTCAAGCCTGCCGCTAAGCCCAAGGCTGCCCCCACGTCCGTGGGTCCGGCTGCTTGGCAGCCCAAGTCTTCGCCTCTTCTTCGTGGGTGTGGCTTCCCGGTTCCCCCCACTGCGATGGCCCGTCAAGTGGATCCTGTCAACAATCCTCGCGTCGAGCTCATGGGTGGTGCCATCATCCGCGTCCCGAAACCCCCTTTGGATTTGGAGGTGCAGTGCACTACGCTAAAAGCTAGTGTAAAGATCTTTCGAGTGTTTTGAGTTTGAGAGAATGAAAGTTATGAGAGGATTAGAAAGCTATGAAAACTAATCAACGAGAGAGATCACAATCAAGCGATCGTAGATCTTTCTCATGACCGCTAGTCATACTAGGTCGATGGTGAAACATCGCGCTAGATATTTAGCTGGCGTGGAGAGATTCCACGCTACTAGATAAATGCTAGACGAATCTTCCACGCGTTCCGTTTTTGGATCGTGGAGTGAGTAGGATTGCTACCGCAACCTACTCTATCACAGTCTACAGTCTCCCGCGGGAGTTCAGATCTACGATCCTTTGATTGTGGATCTCTCTCGTTGATTAGTTTTCATAGCTTTCTAATCCTCTCATAACTTTCATTCTCTCAAACTCAAAAACACTCGAAAGATCTTTACACTAGCTTTTAGTGTAGTACATTTTGTTAACAAACACAATAGCTTTCAGCTACCCTCAACCTATTCCTCACCATGAAGATTGCCAAAGACGCGTACACCAGCTTCGAGTCTAAGCTGCGCGACAAACCAATCC